CGGACATTCAGGCCGGTAAATGTTATTTAATACTGTTTATTATAAACAGAGCATTTACTTAAATACTTGTATCTATAAAAAGAACGTTAAACATAAAAATGTCTTTAATAAATATATATATATATATATATTAATCTATTTCTTCTTCGGTTCACCTGAGTGGACTAGGCTTGCGTAGCAACCAGTCTAAGAAAAGTAAAACTATCAATTCGACTAAACCTGGAGAAACGGAAGTATTTTGTTCATCCGAAAGAGGGCCGTCTGTCCACTAACCGCTCCATGAATACAGAGCAATTCACAGATAATAAAGGAAGAACTATGATCATCTAAATCCTTTTTGCTGTTCTTATCTAAAGTTTGATAGATAAATCAAATGATAAGCAATTAACACATCGATAGTAGACCTAGAGAAACGGAGGCCATATTGCTTATCTGAAAGGGGGCCGTGAGTCCCCTAACCACGCCATGAATGCAGGGCAATTCAAATATAATAAAGAACTATGATCATCTACATCCTTTTCGCTGTTCTTATCTAAATTTTGCTAAACAAATTCCATGATAAGCTATTAACACATCGACAGTAAACCTGGAGAAACGGAAGCCATATTGTTTATCCGAAAGGGGGTCGTGTGTTCACTAACCACTCCATGAATGCAGGGCAATTCACAGATAATAAAGGTAACTGTAGAGAACTATGATCATCTACATCCTTTTTTCTTGTTGTGAATGGGAGAAATCTCAGTCAGAGATGCTTAAATTTTATATAAGATTAGATTATATATAGTCTTTGTTACGTGGTCCGTGGTAGCAGATTTGTGTTCGAATGTATATCACCACCTACTTAATCCACCAACTTAATGTAGGCGTTGGCATTGACATAGATTTTTTTGCGTGGAGTTGGTGGAATGTAGAGAAGCTTGGAAAGCCCTTGTTGCTGACGAGCCGTAAGACCATCACTTACAAAGTAAGTTAAAATACATCATTATGGGCACGTCGATATATTCCGCGTATGGCCACATATCATTTCTCCTGTTAGCTATTTTCAAAAACCTTCGAATCGCCATAGTTGGTGCTAGCTTTCATGTTATTGATCTCGATAATTCTGAAAGAATAATGAAAACTAGAAAGATCCGCCTATTTTAATATGCTGATTAATCTTAATTCTTAAGTTAATGATTGAGTATGTTCATGACGGTTTTTATAATATAATATCCGTAGAAATTCTCCTATCATATCGTTAAATATCTGAGTTAAAAAAATTGTGCTCAACAATAAAAATGTTGCAACAACAATCATAAATATGCATGCTGGTTGATATTTTAAGAAGTAAGTGGGTCCAAATGAAAACATTTTTTACATTTTCATTGAAACAGACATTAAACACTTCTAACTTCCCTTCTTTCTTTCCGTTTTCTCATTGAAACCAGGTAGTGTCTCTGATGTGTCATTTCCGTGTTTTCATGCGGTCAGAACGGAATAGTCCCTTATTTATGGGATATTGGCAGGGCGTAACGGTCGTGTGAACTATGTCCAATTGTTAGATTAAGCTTTGAACCATTGTATCTTAGATTAATCTAATGATTAACGATATCTTACTGGAATTTTCAGAGGTTTTTATAACACTATTGGGCTCTACTTTAAACAATAAGAATGTACTTAGGTCTAAGTTGAAATTATAATCTTGTAGTGAACAAAACAAGATCTAGATTTAAAATTTTAATCCTAAGCACTGACTCATTGATTTTGTTAGAAATTAAAAAAGACTCGAATTTACAAACGTTGATTAACGCACACGCAAAAGCGAATCCCAAACAAAACTCGTGAAATTTCACACCTTGATACGAAATGTTTTTCGGCCAATAGAAAACTAGGAAACATTTAAAAACAAAATCCAAATAATCTTCAATTCTCTAGAAATATATATGAGATTTGATTATAGTGGTGAGGGCTTTGTGCAGAAGCATCCACACTATTTGAAGGGCCCAATACAGAGACCTGATGCACTACGTGCCACAAGGTCCCCAAACGACCCTCCGCGAGTTTTTGAATCCAGAGTTGTCCTTCTCCTAGACCAGTTGCCATCCAGGGCTATAGAACCCAGTCTGTCCTGCTATTTACCCATAGCTGGAGGGAGAACAAGAGGATTCACATCTTTCCCAAGGGTATTAGCACGTAAGTAAATGTGATGGATTCGACTGGAATTCGAACTTGGCTCTCCGATTCCTCAATCCAATCTCTCTCTCTCTCTCTCTCTATATATATATATATATATATATATATATATATAGCTTACATGTGGCACAATTTCGCAAGTATGGAACCCCCAGTAGGGGTCAAACTTACTACTCAGTCGTAATTTGTGTAATGAGACAAGCTTGCTAACCGTTATACAACGAAGTGCCCTACCCCACATTTATATATTTGGCGGGGGGGTGGCTTCGACGTGGTTGCTAGTCATTACCCGACGTTGTAACAATTGACATGTGCTTGGAAATTCAATGTCAGTAGCATCTTTTTTGTCTTCTCGAAGTTTCAAATCGGTTTTACAAACAGGAAGAAGACATAATTGCTGTACCAGCAGTAATAATAGTAGCATCAGCAGTAGTAGTAACACCAGTGGCTTCAGTAGCAGTAGCAACAGTAGTAGTAGTAGTGCCATTAGCAGCAACAATAGTAATAGTACCAGTTGTAGTAGTAGTAATAGCAGAAATAGTAGAAACCACAGTAGCAGTATGAGTAATAGAAACAGTAGTAGTACTATTGTACCAGTAGCAACAGTAGTAGTAGTGGCAGTAAAAGTACCAGAAGTAGGCGTACTAGTATCAGTAGTAGCATCAGTAGTAGTAAAACTAATAGGTAATAGCAAGAAGAGGACTGGTAATAAAAGTAGCAGCAGTAGTAGAAATATCAGCAATACTAACAATAGCAACACTTGATTTAGTAGCAGTAGTAATAGCAACAGAAGTATTAAGATCAGTACTACTAACAATAGTAGTTGTAGCAGTAGTAATAACAGTGCAGGAGCTATTACAGTAGCAGCTGTTGCATAAATAGTAGTATCAGCTACAGTTATACTATCAGTAGTAACAGTGTAGCACCACCAGTAATAGTAGTAATATCAGCAATAGTATAAATTTCAGTACCAGGAGTAACATCAAGATTATTATTATATCGCAACAGACACTTTAGTAGCAGTGACAGTAGTAGTTGGGTTAGTCGCAGCAATCGTAGTATTAACAGTTCAGTAGTAATAGTAGCAGTAGTATTCGTAGTAGAAGCAATAGCAGTAGCAGCAGTGGTGGTTGTAGCAACAACAGAAGTAGTGTAAGTAGCAGTACTAACAATAATAGTAGCAGCAGCTGTAGTAGTAGTAGTAATAATAACAGTAGTAGTAGTAGCAGCAGTAGTAGTAATAATAGTAGCAGCAGTAGCAGTACTACAAGAAATGGTAGTAGCAGCAGTAGTAATAGTAGTAGAAGCTGTAGGAGTGATAATATTAGCAGTAGTAGTAATAGTAGTATCAGTACTAGTAATAATAGTAGCAGCAGCAGTAGTAGCAGTAGTTGAAGTATTACCAGTAATAATAGCAGCAATAGTAATAGCAATAGTAGTAATAATAGAAGCAGCAGCAGTAATAGTAGTAATACTAGCAATATTACCAGCAATAGTAGCATCAGCAGTAATATTAGTAGTAGTAGCAGCAGTAGTAATAATAGTAAGCATAATATCAGTAATAATAGTAGCATCAATAATGATAATAATAATAGTAATAATAGCAGTAGTAATAATAATAATAATAATACAAGCAGTAATAGCAGCAGCAGGAGGAGTAGCATCAACAATAAGAATAATAATAGCATTAATAGCAGTAGTAGTAGCAATAATAGTGGCAGTATTAATAATAGTAATTATAATAGGAGGAATAACAGCAGCAGGGGTAGTAGTAGCAGCAGTAATAGTAATAATAGAAGCAGTAAAAATGATAGCAGTAGTAGTCGTAGCATCAATAATAGCAATACTAGTAGGCGTAATAGCAGTAATAGTACTAGTACCAGCAAAAATAGTAATAATCGTCGTGGTCATAGTAGTAGTAGTCGTAGAATCACTAATAATAATAATAGTAGCAGTAATAGCAGCAGTAATAGTAATAGCAGAATCAATAATAGTAAGTAATAATAGTAGCAGGAATAGCAGTAGTAGTAGTATTAGTAGCAGAATCAATAATAGTAACATTAATAGCAGCAGAAGTAGTAGCAGCAATAATAGTAACAATAGTAGCAATAGTAGCAGCGGCAGTAGTATTAGTAGTAGCAGCAATAATAGTAATAATAGTAGTAGTAATAGTAGAAGTCCTAAGTAGTAGTAGTAATAGTAGCAACAGTAGTAATAATATAAAAGTAGCAGTAGTATTAGAAAAACGTTTTATTCAGATATCATTGCCACAAAAAACTTTGTACATATAAAAAGTTCAATGCTTACTGACAAGTGGCAAGTCTTGTGTTTGGATTTTTGTTTCGGAGTGGGGCTTAGGCATCCAGGTGTGCAAAAGGCTCAGTCTAAAAGCGTACGTGCATAGGCTATTATACCTTTATTTCACGTACCTCCCACCTCCGACAATTGTTGAAAAGGAGTTTACCCTCGTCAATTCCACTGCACAAAAAGGTGTTTGTTTGCAACTCTGTCCCCTCTTACTAAATCTGCAGAAGCTGTCACTATGGTGACATGCTGTCCCTTTCATTAGAAGGGGGAGGGGACTGACCATCATAGTCAACTATGCAACTAAATCTGAACCTTTTTATATATATATATATATATATATATAATTCTCTTTTTATTGGGCGGGGATGACATAAAGAATGTTAAAGATAAATTTTACTGGAAAAAGGAAGCAGATGAAAAGGAAGGAAGGAAGGAAGGGGGAGGGAGGAATTAAAAATATAAGGTAAGTAAAAAAAGGAATTAGAAATAAAAAATATAAGAAAGTAAAAAAAATAGAAAACAGAATGAAAGGAAGGAAGGAAGGAAGGAAGGAAGGAAGGAAGGAAGGAAGGAAGGAAGGAAGGAAGGAAGGAAGGAAGGAAGGAAGGAAGGAATTTAGGAAAGAAGAATGGGAGAAAGAAGGAGCGAAGACAGGATGGGGCAGAGAAAGGATGGATGAAAAATTGTTCGATGAAGCCAGAGGAAATTCTGACCAGTAAAAGAAAAAAATTAAGAAAAAAAATTAACAATGGAGAAAAAGGAGGTGAGACAGAGATAGAGGGGGGCGGGATAGAGAACAGAAAGATGGGACTGGTTGACGAAGACAAAGGAAGAGGAATTAAGGAATGAAGGAATGAAAGAATTAAGGAATGAAGGAAGGAAAGATTTGTTATTCAATAGAATTAAAAAAAAGAAGGAATTTTAATGATGCAAATGATAAAAAGAAGTTTGTCATGGAGGAAAGAAGCGAGACAATGAATAATGGAATGAAGGAAATTTAGATAAAAGAGAAATAGAAAGAATTTAGACTGAAAAGAAAAAAGGGAGTATGTGAAAAATCGTGCAAAAGAAAGAGAGAAAGAAAAAGAAATATAAAGACGAAAAAGCTGTAAATGAAAAATAAAATATGAATCAAGAAAATGTTATGAAAAGAAAGAAAGAATTTTTTGTTGATTGATTCGTTCTTACAGTTTATCAACCTTTTTCAGGTTATTTAAATATTTTTGGAGATAATAACGATTTAGTAATAGAAGTCTTACTAATTAACCCATAGAAAATGTGGGGAGAAAAAGTAGATTCATACTTTTTCCAAGGGTATTTGCGTGTAAGTGAATGTAACGAAACACGACTGGAATTGGAACTCAGCACCTCGATTAACAATTCCGTGCTGTTATCCATTACATCAACCTCATATCAAGGCTTACAGCGCCCAGTAGACCCAAGCAGTTTTCAATATCCTTCTGCTGCTTCCAGTCTTCTCTAATGAATGCTTTTTTTTTAACTCAAGCAAGGCAATAAAGTCACTTAAACGCAAATGGTTACTGAGCGTTAGATTTTTTATTTGTTTAGCGGCATATCTATGGATTATTTAATGCCGGAATCTAAATATTTTGAACATAATTTTATGGCTTCAACTACAGATAAAATGTATTGTCGGTCATCATACTTATTATAAAACCCAGGTTGTGTGTGTGTGTGTGTGTGTGTGTGTGTGTGTGTGTGTGTGTGTCTGTACGTTTATATATTGCATCAGATTTCCTACATTTTTCAACCGATTTCAACAAAACTTCACAGGACTACGTAAAATTTCCTTGCGATGGCTCTGGCAGAGCCCAAAATTGGAAAAACACAATTGTTTTTGCACGAAATCAATTTGAAAACACGATTAAGAGGCATCGCTCTCGCGAGAATGAAAGGGGAACAACTCATATCTAGTTATATTTATTATAAAAACCCAGGTTGTGTGTGTGTGTGTGTCTGTGTGTGTGTGTGTGTGTGTGTGTGTGTGTGTGTGTGTTTGTGTGTGTGTTCGTTTATATATAGGATCGGATTTCCTACATTTTTCAACCGATTTCAACAAAACTTCACTTTTTTTTTTGGCAGGTAGTGTTTCTTATTGTCTTGCACACTTTTTTCTTTATTTTTACATTCAGAATGCTTTAAAAATTCCATTTACAAGATAATTGTTTATAATAAAATTCTGTTCAATTGGTAGAGACTCATAACAATTGAAAACAATGTTTTTGTTTGAGTTTGGATTTGACCAATTCGTAAAAAAACAAAACAAAAAAACTAATTAAGACATGCGTGTCCGTCAACCTTAAACAATAATCTTTGTCAATTTTATTTTTCAGTCTTTATGATGGTCGATACTTGATCTATCTCTTACTGTTACACCCCCGGGCAACGCCGGGCTCTACTGCTAGTTTTGCTATAAAATTTATTGTTGGTAATTCCATTATAGATACGTATGGTTAATAGATTTTTTTTTCTTAACATAATAATGTATTGCTGGTATTTTTACTATAAAAATATATTTTAATATTTTCATAGTGTCTGGGCCTTCACTGTTTTCCCATAGATAGATGGTCGAAAGGAATTACTGGAATTTTTTTTTTTTAATCCGAAGTATTTTAATAATTTCAAATGTTATTTTATTTTCTACAAAGACACAAATAGAACGTGGCTTGCTTGTGAAGCCCTCTGTAGCCCAGCTGTCAAAGTACGTCGGATAGTGCGCCGGTTTTTCATACAAAGAGGAAAGCTGGTTCGAATTCTGTTGGAAGGTACTTTTTTTTTCTTTTTTTTTTGTTAAGCTGTCGCGAGTGCGCGGGTAGGTAGATGAAATAAACACTGTTTCAAATACGGGCATCCACTAAAAATATCGTTTGAGGTAATAAAAATATATCGGATTTGTAAACAATCGCCCAAAGATCTTTTGGTTAGGCACTCTCAGAAAGTAAGATGCACGAATTGAATCCAAGGCGTCGGGATTTTGCACCACAGATTGGCCGAAAGTAACTGATGAAATAGAGAGATTTAAATGCAACCCCAAGCGCCATCGTCTGTCTTTTTGAATTTTTTTTTTTTACCGGAAGCCACTTTAGATTGAGGGTTACAGAGTAAGACAGAGTTTATACGGATATGTGGGGAAGATAACGGTTGACTCTAGACTTGAACAGGCTAAGATTATAGTGATCGGAGAAGCATCTTTTAGAAATCCGTTCCGCAGATTAGTGGATCGCGGGAAGAAATTGCTTGAATGGAACTTCTCAAAAAAACGGAATACGTATTGAAAGAGAGTGGTTCGCTACAAGATGTTTAGAATGGCGGTTCCTAGCAGTGAGTGTTAGACTTGGTGTAACATTAGGCACGGTAGAGTAATGGATAGCGGTTCGGATTGAGGAATCGGAGAGCCGAGTTCGAATTCCCGTGGAATCCATTACATTCACTTACGTGCTAATACACTTGGGAAAGGTATCAATCCTCTTCTTCTCCCTCCACCTATGGGTAAATAGCAGGACAGATCTGGTTCTATAGCTTTGGATGGCAACTGGTCTATCGCACAAAGAAACGGCAACCTCATGCGCGAAAAAATCTGCCTCGTCAGTCATATATCGAAAGATACATGATCGCCTAAGCGTGTATCACGCATGGCACATAACTGACTGAAGGAATGTAGTTCGTTTGAGCAATTTTCATAGAAGTATCCTGTTTTTTTTTTTTATTATTATTTATTGCTATCTCACCTCAATAAAGTTTTCTCATTTTTTTCACTTCCAGTAACCCTGCTGTCTGGGTGGTTTTATCGCCTTGCTTGCGTAGAAATGATTTTAAAAAACTAATATTTACCCCATAGATGGAGGCAGGAAAGGTGGATTCATGCTTTGCCGTTGGGATTAATACGAAAGAAAATTTGAAATTTGCTCATTGATTCCATTTCAGACCCGGTAACCGTTGAGCTACCAACACTTCATAGGCACTCATAAAATTTGTTATTACCGAGACGAGTGTTAATTAAAACCTGTTTGACGATCAAAAAGTGGCGTAAGTTGTTTAAAGCGCGTAATTTGGGCTACAAATTCAAGCCGTAAGTTGTATAGAAGCGTAGAGATTCAACGAGAATTGCGTATATGTGATGCAAATTGCTTACCGCCACCTAATGTAGTTACGCCTCACTTAGGGGGTGGGGAGCAAAAGAAGGAAAAAAAGCTGAACGTGCTTCCTCCTTTTAAGGTGAGACATTCTGGGCGACCTCTGCGATCTGATTTAAATCTTATACAACGGTGTTCATCGCTCGAGTGACATCGGATATCCGCTTTAGAAATTAAACGTTTGCCGCAAAAGCGACACCAAATCATTATGGTGTTTGATGACTCAGTATAAATTTTAGTCTGGCATAGCAGGATTGAACTCATTATCAGAGATTGAGAAAAATAATTTGACTGGTGAATTGTTTCGTGCCGGGAAGGGCCACTTTAACAAGGTAACCGACAAGAGCCTGGCCGGAAATGAGGTCTTTCTTTTCTTTTTATGTGCCATGTCCTTTCAAGATGTAGGCGATCATGGCTCTCCACTTCTCCTATCCCTTATAGCTTCTTCAAAAATTTATTGTTGGTAATATTTTTTTACAAAGTATTTCTGGTATTAAAACCGATTTTTATTCTTTCATAATATTTTGACCCCATTTAAGTGGTTAACCATTTGCCCATAGCTGGGACCCTAACAGGACCCTTGGTTAGCGTGGACCTGGGAACACTAGTAGTTAAGAGGTGGTTCTACGCTCCTCAAAACCTCCTGATCAGAGGCCTTGTTATTGGACGTAATTTATCGTCTTACCCAGGACGCGGATGTAGTTTATCTTCTTACCCAGGACGCGGATGTAGTTTATCTTCTTACCCAGGACGCGGACATAGTTTATCGTCATACCCAGAACGGCATGATTCTCTCCTCGGTCCTTTCTAATTTCGACTGTATATTAATGATATGCCTAAGAGTATACTCCAGTCTTTAGCGAGTATCTACACGGATAATACAACAGTTTAATTGATTCACCTCCAATGATCTGGATGACCAGAATCTAATAGCTTATCTTTCCTCTGATCTAGTGCAGGTGGTTCAATGGGGGAAGGACTGGCTTGTAAAATCCCAAAACGGCTAAAACCAAAATAGTTACGTCCCGGCTACTACCAAGCAGACCCTGAATTTTCATCTGCCATGATTGATGGGTCTTCTCTTAACGATACTTATTTCTTTCTATTATGTCTCAAGCCCACCCTAGACCTCAAGTGGAACTCTTATATCCGATCCATTATCAAAGATGCTGGAAAAATGGTCGGTTCATTGTACTTCTCCAGTAAGTATCTGATTCCCTCTGCTATGCTCTAATTTACAAGAGCCGGGTCAGACCAAAGGTGGAGTATTGTTGCCATAGTTGTCCAGTCCTTACGTCTATGCGGACTTGTGGGTGATGAATTATTTCTACCCTACAACCTCTTTGCCACAGATGAAATGTCGCTAGCCTATCTATCGCTATTTCCATGACATGACGAGCTACATTCTTTCCACCCACTAGCCCCGACCTTTACAACTGGGACCATACACCAGTGTGAATATCCCGATTCTCCTCCTATTCAACTTCCACTCGGATAACTTCTTCCCGAGAAATGTTTCTTTATCGATGTTTTCCCAATCACTACAATCTTGACCTCTTCAAACCTAGCGTTAACCATTGTCTTTGCTTGATACCCCCATGAACTTCCGTTTTTGCCTTTTCTTACGGTCATACTACACAGTAACTCCCTACCTTGAGTGGCTTTTGGGCTTTGTATTGGGTGAACATTAGTAAAAAAAAAAATGAAGAATATTTAACAGAAAGAAAACTGTTAAAGAAAAGACTCGTAGACAAGGTTGGGAAAGAAAACGTGAGGAAAGGAGTAAGCATTAGCTGAAAGAAAACAGAATGTGCGGTCATTAGCGAGAACGGCAGCCCAATATGTGTGCGTTGGAGAGGAAATGACAAAATCAAACAAGTAATGGAAATTAAATATCCGGGAAATGTTATAACAGACGGTAGGAAAAGTGACACCGAAATCTGAAGGCACATTAGTTTAGCAAAAGATGCCTTCCAAAAGCTAAGCAAAGTATTAACAAACGGAAAATTTCGTTAGAAACAAAGAAAAGAGTGCTGAACTGCTATGTAATATCAGTCCTACTGTATGGTAGCAAATGCTGAACAATTTCCTCACAGATAAAGAGGCAACATAAATTTGGTTGTACAGAAGGATGCTGAGAACACCATGGACTGAACATGTGAGTAGCGAGTTTTACCGAAAATGGAATAAAAAAACACTTAAACTATTTGTATTCGAACTATCGTCGTCATCTTTGTTGTTGTTATCACAGCGTTTCGGCCGTTGTGCCCTCAGGCCTTCTTCAGGTGTATATCGATCTGGATAACTTACATGGAATTATGAACTGAATCCTTTATTTAATCTATGGGGGGTGACCGTTCTCCTTCCACTGCCATAGACATAAGCGTTTTAGAATTTCCTGTAGGTTACCCATATCGATATACACCTGAGGAAGGCCGGAGGGCACAGCGGCCGAAACGGTGTGATAGAAACAACAAAGATGGGGACAATAGTCCGAATGTAAATAGTGTAAATAATGATAAATCCTTATCATAGAAATTCAGACAGAAAAATAGACTATTTTCCGGGGACAAAATGAGAAAAGTATGCTTGGAGAATATGTGGAAATCAAGAAAATATCACGTAACCTATCTCATGAGCTTTTGTAAATGGACGTTAGAACAGGTACTGTAAAGGATACCTCTTTTATGTGTCGTGTCCTTTCAGGCCGTGGGCAGCCATAGCCCTCCACAGCTTCGTATCTTTCGCAGCTTTTAGCAATATCTTTGTTGTTGTTTTGTCTTTTTTTCTACTGTGCCTCTCACTGTCTGATCTGCTAACCATTTACACCAACTCATTAGGCCGGGTCGCTTCTCCCCGCTGTCCTTTTGTGTTTCAGTATGCCTTGTGAGTGTTAGATTCTCCAAGCAATCCTTTCTCATTATATGTGCCTGTCTTTCTTCGTTGCTTACCTGTTCAATCCTTGGTATTCTCAGAATCCTCCTATAGAACCATATCTGTGTTACCACCGGTCTTCTCTTCGTTTATGAAGAAATTGTTCAGCATTTACTGTTATTTAGGGGAATTGTTATTACGTAGCAGTTCAGTATTCTTTTCTGTTCTTTCTAACGAATATTTTCCTGTTCCTTAATACTTTGGCTTTAGGTAAGCGTGTTTCGCTCTTCTAATAAGCCTTTAGTTTTGGGTGTCGCATTTTCCGTCATCTGTTAAAACATTCCCCGGATAGTTTCAATTTCTGTCTTATGGGGTGGGGGGCGGCATTATTGGTTAGAGCTATACAGGATAGTTGTGGAGAGCCTTGATCGCCTGTGTCCTGAAGGGACATGACACATAAAGGAAAAATCTGTCGAAAACGTACTTTGGTTTAAAGAAAAATGCCTGACAGATTTAAGGGTTTTTTTTTCTTTAGCCGGTGAATGAGAGTGATTAAAATGACCCTTTCTAGTTAAAGGCTCTAAGTATTCGCTTAATACATTTTTTTCGATGTTGTTTATATTTTATTATATATATATATATATATATATATATTCTTTCTTTCACTTTTATTTTTTCCCTGTTGATATTTGTTTTTATACCAGTTATTTGTTCACCTGTTCGCGTAGCAATGTTTATTGTCTAGAATTAGTTCTTTTCAATTCCTTTAAAATACGATATGTTCGAATGTCCTTTATTTATTTATTTATTTTTTTCAACCGCCTTCTTGTTATTTTGTTTGATTGAAAATTGATATAAATTACATCGAGAACCCGGGTTAAAAACGTCCAATTTACAGACAACCCGCACTTACAGACATACTCATATAAAGCCAGTATTTTTTTTTTTTAACGCCATGTCACTTCCGAACGTAGGCGATTATGGGTCTCCCTGGATTAATTTTCCTTTAATATCAATGAATCTCGATGGTCAAGTGGCACAATAGCGGTTCGAAACAAGAAATCATCAAACCGAGTTCGTCACGTTCACTTCCGCGGAAATGTATGAATCTGTCTCTTCTCCCCCTCCAAATATGAATTAACTAACAGGGCAGATTGGGTTCTCTCGTCGTGGTTGCTAACCAGTCTAGGAGAAGAACAACATTGAATGTAGTCCTGTCGTAGCATACTCTGAATCCATCGACAAGATATGGTATTTACAATAACTCGATTGTGTCTTTTTTTTTAATCATTTCACCCATCAATCAAGGCAATAATGCTGCTAAGACGCAAAGGGTAACTGAGAATGTAAGAGAAGGAAAAGACTTTAGTGAGAAGAAAAGTCAATAAATGAACAGGATTCAAGAAAACAGAAGATAGCGATTGACGTTTCATTTTTTGTGATGTCAACGAACACTCGTTGCCACTTTTCTGATGTCAACAAATACTCGTTGTCACTTTCGTAATGCTCGTTATAGTAGAGACTTTGTAATCGCAGATACAACTATAGTAACGCCGTTGAACAATACTGGTGTCAGTCGCCTTCGAATAACACTCGCACTAATAGTACTTGCTTGAGAAAACTCGCTCGACAATTAACCACCAAATAGTGGTCCGAATAGTAATCCATATCGCTAACTGTCCCACGCGGCCGGATGCGGCACAAGGCCAAGTTTATAGTGGAGTATCCGAACCCATAGGCTCGGTCAAAAATTCCCCATGGACCCCGTAATAAACGGGGTCGGGTAGCTGCCTCCTGAGACGAGACTCTGCTCTTTGGTATAGCCTCGCCTGAGGATCCTCTCTGCCGGAATTTGACCAACACGCTTCCGAAGCAATCGGTATCGTGATTTCTTAGACGCCACGCTAATTCCCTTATATACATTTCCTTTACCATCACGTGATCTACTTATTCAAAATGGGATCGCCTGTGTTTGCTCTCTAGTGATCTGCGTTCAAACTCCAGTGTCGGCAGCAACACTTTATCCCAACAGAACCCATTTAAATTTTGGAAGATTCGAGGTGGCAGGGAGGCAAGAAAACGGAAGGGAATTTCAGAAGTGATAAGCACGAGAGAAGAAACTATTAACATAGAACTTACGTTTACAATTAGCATATTCAACAGTGAAATAACTGAGACGTAACTGCCAATCTAGTACTGCGCTGAAATTTGTGAAACCGAGCTACCAAAGAGGAAAGCTCATCAGAACAGAAAATATTTATAGAAAAGACATTGGGATGTTATGTTATGACGGTCGGAAAGTGACTGAAGCCGAGCTGCCAAATTAGGTCGATAATGTTGTAGAGTCTTCTTTGGGTTTTGTCAAGAATCTCTAGATCAGACGTGATAGCAAAATTCAATGTACGGACGAAATTTTTGAGTAAAATTCATCAGGATTTTGATGTGAAAACGTTTTCTCAGAGATCTTGAATTTGGTTTACATTAAATTTTACCCCATCAAAGCGTTTTGCAGCGATCAAATTCGGTAATAATCGGTTGGTATAAGGCTAGGTGAATACAGTGAGTGAGGTAGAACGGACTAACCGAGTTCTAAATTTAGATTTACAACTAGCAACTTCAACAGTGAAATAATGAGACCTAACTGCCAATCTAGTACTGCGTTGAAATTTTCGAAGCCAAGCTACCAAACAGGAAAACTCTTCAGAAAAATTACGGTGAAAATATTTATCGAAAAGATACTAGGATGCTACGTTATAGTCGTGAGAAAGTGACTGAAGCCGAGCTGCCAAATCAGCACTGGTGATGTTGCAGATTCCTCGTCAAGAATCTCTCGATATTTAACCGAAACGCCAGACCTGACGTGACAGTAAGATTCTATGTACGGACGAAATGTAAACTTTTTAAGTCTGCAAGATGGATTCTGGTGGGAAAAATTGTTTAGCACGACATTGTGAAGCGACTTTTCTAACATCAGACCTAAAAACTGATTCAGTATATCATGTCAGTGGAAAACGATCGACCAAGAAGGCACAATGATTTGCTCCCGTGTAAGTTAGCATCGGCCATGTCGATGATGGAACTCTTGAACCTGGTTTACATTAAAGAAAGCTTTCCTCATAATAATGTTCTGCGGTGATTGAGAAAGGAAATCAGCGGTTGGTGCAGGATCAGATGAATATGGCGGCTAGGACAGAACAGACCAACCGGGGTCCCAATTTTTTCTCTGTGTTATTCTTGCGGTATGGGGCCTTACGTTATTATGGAGGAAAACAACATCCACTGAGTACGCTGCCCTCTGCCGTGCAAAAACTGAGCTATGTTGGAGTACTCCAAATTTATTCTCAATTGCTACGGATGATTAAGCCGGGAGGGGGCGCACAATGGTTGAAACGTTGTGATAAGAACAACAAAGATGAGGACAATAGTCCGCATGTAAATAATGCTAATAATGATAACTTCTCTTGATTTTTCTAGCAGCAGACTCGGCAATTGATTCAATATAATCGTTAACTTGAGTTCCGATAGACTTTCAAAGTAAAGAGTCTCAATGAGAGGGCAACTGTTCACTTTGATGAAGGAAAGCTCGGGATTCGATCGATGTGACCCATTGAGAACTGTGCAAGCTACTGCATTTTGATCATAGAGAACAAAGATATATGCAGGGTCCAGGACCTGTTCTAGAGAATGTCACATTAAACTTCTTTCCCTGTGTTATTCTTGCGGTATAAGGCCTTAAATTGTTATGGAGGAAATCAACATCCACTCAGTACGCTGCCCTCTGCCGTGCAAAAACTGAACCATGTTAGAGTACTCCAAATTTATTCTCAATCGCGACAGATGATTAAGCCGTGGGGATACAACTGCCGAAACGTCGTGATAACAACAATAAAACTAAGGACAATAGTCCTCATGTAAATAATGTTAATAATGATAACTCCTCACGATTTTTCTATCAGCAGATACAGCAACTGATTCATTATAATCGTTTTACTTCATGTCAGTGGAAAAGCTTTGATCAAAAAGGCGCAATGATTTCCTTTCTTGGAGGTTAGCACCAGTTATGCCGATGCAAAAAAAGCTTCTTTTATTAATAACTAATCAAGATAGAGAGTTAGGGCCATATCACGTTGTAATACCGGTTCTTGGTCGATCAGTGTAGTCAAGCAACCTTGAACCTGGACATTACCCAGATGGGTGACCGCTGAGGAATACTGGGTACTGTAAGCTAGGTAAGATACCCTTCAAGCTAGCCGCGGATACAATCTTGCTACTTATACTCCCAGAAGACCTCAATATACGAAGGTGATTCTGGACTGAGAGGTCACAAGACTTAACTAAAATTTTGTGAAAAGTGTAATGGAGAGCAGTTTCGTTTTGAGGGCGTTAAAATAAACAAGCCATTTCTTGCCCCAGTTAACAACAGTCATTTTCGAGATCAGTTACCAATTTGATATTATCGAAGAGATGAAGAACACTTTTGCAATTCGCAGCACAGGTTCCTAAACACTGGGATTTTTTTTTTTATTCTGGTTAAACATTCAATCGTTCCAAGGTTTAAAATTAAAAGAAAGCATAGAATGCATAAGATTTTGAAGAAGATGGCGCAAAAGCGGGTGGGGTTAATTTTATTTCTCACACCCGTAAAAGGACGAGGAAGGGTTGAGGGTAGCTTGGACAAGATCGTGTGAGTGAAAATATGGGACAGAATCGTGAGATGGGGAAAAGACTTATCTTTACACTTTTGGCCTGCGGCTGAGCCAAACAGTCTTGTAAATAACACACACACACACACACACACACACACACACACACATATATATATATATATATATATATATATATATATATATATATATAAAGAAAGAACAGTAAGATATATAATCCGGTTACTCCAAAATTCGCTTTAGGATGAAATGTAACTAATGTCTTTACTTTAATTACAAAATTAAATTCGGAGCTTTCAGCTTCCATTTTTGAAACATGGTTAGAACTGTGTAGCGAAAAACATATTTTAAATCAATTAATAATATATATATATATATATATATATATATATATATATATATATATATATATTTTAAAATCAGGATGTAGAAATCCTGTCAAAGTTTTTAAATTCTGACGATTGGAAAGTGTGACACCAAGAAGGCGTAGTGAGTTGGTTGCTCTCCTGGAGGTTAGCATCAGCCATGTTGATGACAGGCAAAAAGTGTTCTTTAAAATGATTAATCGAGACCAGGTTCGTTTTAGAGGCGTCAAAATTAAAAAAAAAAAGTCACTTCATGTCCCAGTTAACAACAGATTGGAGGTCATTTTCCAGATCAGTTACCAATATGGTTTGATCGAGCCTATCAAATTTACTATCAGGAAGCTTTGGAGAAACATGATCACCCATGTCCTAAGCGGATATGACGCATAGAGAAAAAGGATTCCTACACACACACATATATATATATATATATATATATATATTTTCTCTCTTCGCTACAGTATCCAATGTAATTACTTTTATTAATGCTATATTATTATTATTGTCTGTGGGAGCGGCACGCCACCAAAGTGACGCTGGAGTACAAATATACGAGGCTTACGGCCATATTACATTGAAACACAGGTTCCCATACGATCACCGAAGTTAAGCAACGTCGATCCTGGTCAATACTTAGATGGGTGACCGTTTAGGAATAACACCTGGCGGTAAGCTTGGATGTGCGGGTGGTGTAATGGATAATGATTCGGAATTGTTAATCGAAGAGCGGAGGTCCAATTCCAGTTTGGTTCGTTATATTTACATAGGCGCAAACTACTCTTGGGAAAGGCATGAATCCACCTGTTCCCCTTCCCGCTATGGGTTAATTAGTAAGGCCTGTATCACTAAAAACATTATTAGTCTCCCGCCCCGCAACCCCCCAAAAATGGCGTAAACAATATTTAGATTTTGGTATTAAATGACATATAGAAGTTGATATGAAACTAAACAACAACGTCCATGCAACCAACAAATATACGATGCCCAATATAACCAGCCTGGTACAGCTATACCAGGCACAGGAATCACCGCCAAATGCGTGACGGTAAACAACGCATAACTTGCATAACTTGCAGGTGGGGACCAATTAGAAATACCTTCATGTCGATTAATCCAGTCTGTTCAGACTGTACTGTACTGTACTGATGCGGCATTCACCCTGGGCGGATTGAGCCGGCTTCTTCCTGTTATGAGAAGAAGATTCTTGGGATAAATTACAGAAGTAGGGTACCCAGGCCTACTCGGATAACGTTCTTGCTTGCCGCGAGGTTCCCACAGACGCAGAGACAGGAAAGACCAGAAGCCGCCGGTTACCGATGCAGACGCCTTGGATTTTCACCAGAGCCCTTGTTAGTTGGCGTGTGTGTCAGACCTGTCCGCCTTTGGTAACCCTACCAGGAACGAAGTTCCGGCGGCATAGCTCTGACACTACTGTTTACACCCCCCCACCGACTGTGAGGTAAGGGTTGGACTTTGGGGCTTACAGTACTAGGTGTTCCCCAAGCGGTCCCCCATCTAAGTACTGACCTGGCTCTACGATGCTTAACTTCGGTGATCGAACGAGAACAGGTGTTTCAGCGTGATTTGACTGTTCAGACGGTCTCCGATTGAATTGAAGCCGTTCTCAAGTATCTCGATGTGACTCCTAAGACGCCTTGGCTACCTCATCCTTTAAACTTAAAAAAGACATCTCTGTTGGCATCCGGCTATGATCGGACCAAGACTGTAAAAGCCGCTTTTACGCACAAACTGACCAAATAGAAATACCTTAGGTTTGGTTAACCCAGTATGCGATTTAATTGAAGCCGTTCTCAAGTATTTCGATTTGACTCCTAATCGCCTTGGCTGCCTCATCCTTTAAACTTAAAAAGAAGCCTCCCGGCAGCCGGCAGCCGGCAGCCGGCTATGATTGGACCAAGACTGTAAAGGCCGCTTCAAAAACACAAACTGACTGAGTTGAAACCGACGAAATATTGAAGAGAATAAAATGTGAATTAAGATTCAACTGTCGTTTTATCCTTTAATCGGTACATTCAATCAATTACATCAAAACGTAGGCAGTTATGGTTATTTGCAGAGTCATTTGCTTTGTAAATTACGATGATTGATTGGCTTTCTTCTAGACTAGCTGCCACGCATGGCCAGAGAACCCAATCTACCCAGCTATTTAAACCATATATGGAGGCTTGGGCATGATTTTTCTAAGGGTATTGGCGCGAAAAATAAGGGTATTTCTGGGTTTGATTACAGTTACAGTACTCCGTACATCACTTCGTTCTGTTCTGCATATATTTTTCGTCAGTTTGCTCAAAACGTAGTGTCTTGCACAGTTCTCAATAGGTCACATTTTCCACCCATTCATGTCTACTTTTGTATCCTTTCGGAGCTAATTTGCTATATTATTGTTATTATTCTTATTCTTCAGGGTTCAATGCGACGAAAAACTGGCTTTCATCTTTCAGTAGCTCTAAAACAAAGCTATTAACATTTCATCACCATCGATCGAACCCAGAGCTTTCTCTCGTCAAATTGAACCTTGTTGTTTCTTGCTGCCAAAGACATTAAATTTTATGTATCATTCTCTAGAACAGGTTCTTTGGTTTGTATGCTCAAAATTCAGTGGCTTGCACAGTTCTCAATGAGTTACATTTCCTACCCACTCATATCTATTTTTGTATACTAATAATGATGGATCTATAAGTGAATGCACTTCAAATCAAGAGGATAAACAAACACGAAATTAAAAAGAACAAAAACTTGTAATTACAACGGATAATTTATTGTTTAAAACAGATATATTTCGGAAAGCTTTTGCAATCCTTGATCACTCTTCAGAAATAAATGAAACAGTGACTAAACTATATTGTATACATTATAAATTCTTATTAACAAACAAAAAAACATCGATTGAACTGAGTTCACGGGACACGTAAGCCGAAAGCATGAGAATTGCTCAAAGAAAGAAAGAAATGTCATTTCCAAACCAGAGTAGGAAAAAAAAAATTTTTTTTTTGTTAATTCGAATTTATAATGTATACAATGTCGCTTAGACAGTTTCATTTATTTCTCAAGAGTGATCAAGGATTGTAAAAATTTTCCGAAATATCTGTTTGTACAATAAATTATCCGTTGGAATTACAAGTTTTTGTTCCTTTAAAAATAAATAAAAAATAAAAACAATTTTTCTGATGTACTTTGAAAAGTAATGGCAATAATAATTTTGATTGATTTTAAAATAAATTTTGTTTTGACTATTTTTTTTTTATTCCTTTTTTTCATGTTTCTTTCTTGAATTAGTGTTTTCCCGCCTAGTCAGTCCCATAACCACTAATATTTTCATAATTGGCTGTTCTCACCGTTTTCTTTTTTAAATCCTTCTTCATTCTTTACGTATTTTATTTATCTATTTTTGCAGCTGAGATCCTCAGTCATTTTATCCCTATTTGCTTACCTACCTAAGCCTGTCCAGATTCCCCGCTCCTTTACTTTAAAAACGTACCTGCTTTGACGTACGTCCCTCCGAAATGAGAGAGTTAGACACCTTTAAAAGGCAATGATCACAACAGAGATAGGGCGCCGTCTATGTATTAAATTCAAAAAGAAACAAAAAAAAAATACTTAGATTACCTGGAGAGTAAAAGGTTGGGGGAGAAAGAGGTCATGTCGGACTACCACCTGGAGATGCGACCCGGCTTGCGTTACCGGTCAAATATGAAAAAAAAAAAAAAAGGGGTAATTCAAAAAGCGTGTCCACCGGCATGACCCTCAGAGCAAACAAAAACTGTCGGGACGAACTGGAGGTAGGGTCGATGGTGTCGCATCTCTGCATCACACAAACCGGCTTTTACTTATTGCTGAGTGATCCCCCCCCCCGTGTACCCACTTCCTTCAGGATGCGCGTATTTAGCGCCAGGAGGCTTCTAGGTGAGCGATCGGTGGGTCAGGATTGACAACAGATCATTTGCGATCAATTTAACCGAACCACATGCACCGCGGAGTTAAACCGAGTAAGTGTTGTAACTAATTTCTTTAATTCTATGATATTCTCTCGCACTCTCTCTCTCTCTCTCTCTCTCTCTCTCTCTCTCTCTCTCTCTATCTATCTATCTATCTCCTTCTCTCTCTCCCTCTCTCTATATCTCTCTCTCCCTCCCTCTCTCTCTCTCTTTACATATATATATATATATACGCATAGAGAAAAAGGATTCCTACACACATATGTTCTCTCTCTCCCTCTCCCTCTCCCCTCTCTCTCTATCTCTATCTCTCTCCCTCTCTCTCTCCTCTCTATAGCTTTCTCCCTCTCTCTTTACATATATATATATATATATATATATATATGTGTGTGTGTGTGTGTGTGTGTGTGTGTGTGTGTGCAGATATTTCATTGAATATTACGGATGGACAAGTAATATTTTATGTACTTTTGCTAATGTTAGAATTAGACATGCTTAGAATAACAGTGTTATCAACAATATCTTTTCTTATGTGAGCAGGGCGTTGTATATGAGTGATTTAGTGTTTCCTTATTAAACAAAGATCACTTAAGTGGTTCGTCAGTCTACTTGCTGTTGCCATCTGGACAATGTAGACATTGGAAATGGCTTTTTGCATATTACAAGAGTCACAGTTTTGTATGCGCCAATGAAATTTGGTAAAACGCATTGGCGGTCTGAAGTTTGGATTTAATAGGAGTTTTTTTATTAGTAATTATTAGTTTGAAAGTTTTTAATCTTCTAGAATATAATGAAATTTTTTTCTTACTAAGGTCGACGGTGAAATGTATTGTTATATGATACGTCGCATGGCGAATTCGTCTTGTTTATAATTGATCTGAGAAAGTGGTTGTATACAATTGACAGAAGCTCTTCTTGGTATCCTCGTAAGGAAAGGGTCCCACGGGTGTCAAGCATGGTGTCCAATGTGTTTAGAAATGTCTAAACTACCACTAGTCTGGAAAAGGCGTTTTATACAACTGACAGAACTAGGTAATGGTAACCGCGTACGAAAAGGATCCAACGTGTTTAGAAATGTCTGAAGTATCAGTGGTCTGAGAAAGCGGTTGTGTACAATTAACAGAATTTCGTCTTAGTAACCTCGCATGTAAACTGTCAAATGGGTGTCAAACATGGCGTCCGATTATAGTTCAGAAATGTCTAAACTATAACTGGTCTTAAAAAGCGGTGGTATTCAGTTGACAGAACTTTGTGTTTGTCACCTCGTACGAAAAGGGTCCTGTTGGTATCAAGAATTGTGCCCAACGTATTTAGAAATGTCTAATCTAACATTGGTTTAAGAAAGCCATTGTATACAGCAGACAGAACCTCGTCTTAGTAACCTCGCGCGTAAACGGTTATATCGATGTCAAGCATGACGTTCAATGTGTTTAGAAATGTGTCAATTATGATTGGTCTGAGAAAGAGATTCTATACAAATGACAAAAATTCGTTTTAAAAACCTCGTACGTAAACGGTCCTATTTGTGTCATGCATGGCATTCAATTATTGTTTAGAAATGTCTAAACTATAATTGGTTTGAAAAAGCGATTGTATACAACTGGCGGACCCACTTCTTAGTAACCTCGTACGTAAACGTGCCTATGTGCGTCAAGCATGGCGTCCGATTAGAGTTTAGAAATGTCTAAACTCTCATTGGTCTGAGAAAGTGGTTGTATACAACTGATAGAAAATCGACCTAGTAACTTCGTAGGAAAACCATTCTATTGGTGTCCAACGTGTTTAGAAATGTCTAAACTATCCTCTATATACAACCGTTTACTCATATCAATTATTTGGAATAGTTTCCAGCTAATGAATATTTAATTTCTCAATTAAAATATTTATCAGACGTCATAGTTTGGCGCTACAAAATCAAAAACAAAGGGCTTTACCAAATAACAACAAAAAATAATGACTTAAAGACTTCCAATATCAGTAACAATTAAAATGGACAGCACATGTAACCAGAAAGTTTTAATTTGATTTATTTTTTACGACTCATCAACCTTTTGCAGGTTGTTTAAATCCAGAAAAAGAATTTTCAGATTGTAAGATTTTTTTGAGATAATAATGATTTACTGATACACGTCCTACTAATTAACCCATAGTTGGAGGGGAAGAAGTGGATTCATACCTTCCCCAATGATATTTGCGCCTAAAAGGAATTGGAACGCGGCTCCGATTTACAATATTCATTACACCACGCACACATCCACGCTTGCAACACCTGGTATTCTCAAGCAGTCACACGTGATATGGTCGTAAGCACGTGATTAGAAGTGAAAATAATAATATAAAAATGTTGACTTTCCACAGTATATTACACAAGAGGTTAGGAAATAAACTCCCATCCACACTAGAAAGAGTGGTAACAGTTAATAGATGTTTTTCTATGTCCTGTATCCATTCAATACATGGGTTATTGTGGCTATAAACGACTTCGTATCCTCTGTAACTCTTAGTCAGTTTTTTCTTTTCGTTATCTCGGCTCTGCCATCAGTTTTCTTAAGCTAGTTATGTAGGTTACTCTCTGCTTATATCTATCGCCTCCTGCTTTCGTCTAATTTACTCATGTCCTGGGCATGACGATAAACTACATCCGGCAACAAGGTCTCTGATCAGGATGTTTTGAGGACCGTGGAACCACCTCTTATTTCTTGTTGTTCACGGATACACCCTGACCCTGAGTGGTAGAACCTGTCAGGATACCAGCTATGGGCAAATAGTTAAGCCCCGCCAATCTGGTGCCAAAACACAATGAAAGTGTAGAAATATAGTTTTATAGTGAAGATGCCAGCAATATATTTTCATAGTAAAAAAACATTACTAGCAATACTTTTTGGTAAATAAAATTTTAAAAAAATATTAACAGTACAGTGTAACCCGGATATAAGAGAGTTGTCGGGACCGGAGAAGAAGTCTCTTATATCCGGGCTTCTCTTATATCCTGGTTTGTTCATTTTATATACATTAACACAGGCTCTAATTTGGGACCAGAGAAAATCTCTCTTATATCCAGGTTTCTCTTATATCCGGGTCTCTTATATCCGGGTTACACTGTAATACATTTTTGTAAGGAAAAAAATTACCAACAATACATTTTTATAAAAAGAAATTCCTAATGCTCCCAAGAAAATTAAATTTCGGCAGTAAATGGCCCATATGCCGTTAAACAAACAAAAAATCTATTTAATTCCTAAAAAAGAGAAAGATTTTATTAATTTCAGCCAACAGTGAAACTAACTCTTCAGTCAATGAATGCTGAATGTTTGACTTGTGGTAGGTTTAGGCTTTGATAGTCTACCAATTTTTATCTGGTATTCCCAAGCAGTAACCCATTTAGGTACTGAACAGGCTCAGCATTGCTTAACTTCAGTGATCGTACAAGAACTGGTGTTTCAATGTGATATAGTGGCTGCAAACCCCTTGACATGTAAAGAATATTTTCAATAAAGACCTTTGTGGAACTTGCTGGAATATCATCAGTTATTAATAAGAAGCTCATTTATGGATCTTCCATTTTGTTTTAGGATAGAAATATTGGCATAAAAGCTTTATTTAAAATTTTCTTTTTGTTCACTTTCCAATATGACATTTTCAGGTTGCCTTCTTCAAATGCAAGTATTAACTGGTTAGATGTATGTTAGTTTATAACTGACTGTTGGTGTCAAATTTTAAACTCTTTATCATTACTATGGGTGAGATAATTATTGTGGATAAAAGAAAATTTATCTTCTAAGAAAACTTCTCCAATTGAAGATAAAGTTTTGACACCTGTTAGAAAATACTGATGTTGTAATGTTTCATTTTTCTTTCTAAAAATAAATTATATTTTTTGTGAAACAGAATTCTATCTTGCAATAAATGTTAAAAATTCTGTCAAATAACTTTATATTGACCTTATGTATGTATAAGACAGATTTTGTGAAAACTAAGATATTTCTGTTAGTGTTGTGTCGGAAACCTACCACCCCTCTTGAAGATGAACTTGTCTGCGTCTGTGAACAAAGACTTTAAATAGTGGCATGTCAATTGACATGGAAGAAGACTGATAGATAGAGAGGGTAAGACCTCCGAGTCTAGCTGAGTCGTGATACAGTCTTTGACTGTAAGCGACGTCTGTCGAACTCTCTGCATTAGCAGAGAGGAACCCGGACGAAGCTTTGCCGAAGGGCAAGGTTTCGTCCGGGGAGGTAGACAGGGCCTGAACCCGTCTCGGCGGGTTCAAAGGCTATATTTTTTACCGAGCCTACAGGCTCGGAGATACCCACATTAAACCGGCCTTGTGCCATATTCAATCCTCGTGGGTGGATCGATAAATACTAAGACAGATAGACCGAGAAGTTCTTAGCTGAGCTAGTTATTGACTATTCAGGCGATTTCTATACCCTTTTACCAACCTATTAAAACCCTTTTTATTGTTACGTGTTATTTGGCGTTTGTCTCTACTTAACCCCAAATCAACAACATAACAGTTAGAATGCACACCAACTACAATATCCATTCTCAAATATATATTTCTTTATTTGGGTGTGTTTCACTCTTCCTTTTCTAGTTGTGTTCCCTTTTGTCCACTATTTTATATAGTATTGAGAACTGAAATTATTTAAAACTCAAATTTTCATTACTACATAATGAGTAATTGATGTGTTTACATTGGTTGGTTATTTCTCCTAAGTTAATTTGGTGGCTGGGATAGAAACTTTTTTTCTTCTCTCAATTGTTACCTAGAATCTTTCCAGCTAATTTCTAATAGGTATATCATTTTTATCAGATGGGATGTTGCTGTTGTTAGTATAGAATTAGTTTTAAGACCTAATTTAGCAAATGGATCTCCTGAGAGTCAGATTTTAAGTATTGTTCCAGATATTAGAAAAATAATCATTAAAGAAATGTCAAGTTAATTTCTTCAAAATTCATGTGTGAGCAGGTTTTTCAATCCAATGATGAACCAAATGAAATTTAGCCTTTCACTTGTGGTGGGTTTTGCCTTTGATCGTCTGACAACTTTTATTGCATTAATTATTATTATTTTTTTTTTTTTTAATTATATTTTTTTAGTAATTCAAACTTGTAACAATCATAATTGGTCATAATTAAAATTTGAGTAATTTTGCTTTTAATATTTTAATTATATTTGGCATTTTTATATTATGAAATTATTTTTTTCCTTTCAATTTTGGAAAATTTATTTTGTTGCATTGACATCAATTTAAATTTTTAGAGATTGTTCAATTTTTCTTTTTTTATACTAAATATATTATCGTAAATAAACTTGCTAAAAACTTATTTTAAGTATATATATATATATACAATATAAAAGGCTCAAACCATGGTTATAATTCCAATTACGATTTCAATGTAATAAATTATAACCATGGAATATTAGTGTTTGAGACTTTTATATTATATTCTTACTCTGTCCTGAACATTGCGTTCTACCTGAATTCTATTTATTATATATTATATTTATATATATATATATATATATATATATATATATATATATATATATATATATAAAAAGTAGGTTTTTAATTCTTAATTTTTAATATATAAAATACTTAAAAATTTTACCTGACACAACTTGACAAAGATTAAATATTACCATCTGATTGGTAAAATTCAACTCAGTTTTTTTATAATTCATAAAAATAATCAAAACAGTCATTTTGCCAAATAAGTCTTTATGCAATTGACTAATCTGACTATTACTAATACCACTAAGTCAATGAATGTCGAATGTTTCCTGTATGGAAACGGCTAATCCCATTCGCTATTACCATAACTCTGGTCTTTCCAGCATTCGAGAGAATATCAGTGAGAATGGGTCTTTGTACTTTAATTTTAACCTGATAAATAAGGGCAAGTGTACTGTCTGGAAACGTTTAACTTTATCAGTTTGCAATCTTTGAAGGTATGGTGTAGTAATGGATTGAGGAATCGGAGAGCCGAGTTCGAATTCCAGTCGAATCCATTACATTCACTTACGTGCTAATACCCTTGAGAAAGGTATCAATCCTCTTCTCTCCCTCCCCCCCAGCTATGGGTAAATAGCAGGACAGACCGGGTTCTATAGCCTAAGATTGCAACTGGTCTACCGCAGAAAGAAATGGCAACCTACTGCGGGAAAAAATCTGCCTCGTCGGTCATGTATCGAAAGATACTTGATCGCCTAAGCGTGTATCACGCATGGCACATAACTGACTGTCATTGACATTATTATTATTAATAATATTATTTACAACACAAATCAAAGAAATTATTAATTAATAATAATAATAATGAAAATAACAACAAGAACAACAGTAATAATAATAATAACAATCAAAGACAACCGCCCAGACATTGTTACTAAAGAACACAAACAAAAAAAGTGCCTGCTTATTGATATGGCAGTCCCTGCAGACTGCAAGGTATCTTTGAACGATATTCAAAAAGTTGTCATAATACAAGGACCTTGAAATAGAAATTTCGAAAATGTGGCATATGGGAACATCAACAATCCCTGTTGTAGTTGGAGCCCTAGGACTGGTTGGAAAAGATTGCAGTAGACTAGAAGGGATTCCTGGAAGTCCATGCCTCAAAGAGATACAAAAAATTGTTCTCACAAGTACAGCCCACACTTTACGAAGGGCTTTTTAATTATTTTATTTTTTTTTTTTTTTGTCAGCGGAAAGTGTCATGATGCCATTTCTAACCTTAGGACCCGGAAAGAAATGGGTAAACACCAGAAATCAAAGGAAATAATAATAATAATAATAATAATAATAATCAAGAATGGAATTAACCCGAAATGCAGCATTTTCTCTCCCCATTAGCGCAGACTGTGTTCTATAGCCTTGGATGGCAACTGGTCTACCACAGAAAGAAATGGCAACCTACTGCGGGAAAAAAATCTGCCTCGTCAGTCATGTATCGAAAGATACGTGATCGCCTAAGCGTGTATTACGCATGTCACATAAAATAGCAAGAGAGACTGAGTTCTATATCAGTGAGAATGGGTGTTGTATGAGTCAATTATTCGTTGAGCGAGGGTCTTTGTACGTTAATTTTAAGCTGATAAATAAAGGGCAAGTGTACTGTTTGGAAACATTGAACTGTTGGCACAGGTTTGAAAGATAACGGATACGGATCGGCAAAGAATTCACTCAACCAGAACAAAGGCGCTAAGACTTCGCATCACTTTTTACCAAGTGCGTGTGTGTGTGGGGGGGGGTCAGTCAAGAAATCTCTCTCGGATTGCCTCTCTTACCCATAATGATAGATGGGATCATAAAAAGGCCGACTAGGGTTGTTCCCTGAGCAAATGCATACCAGATAACAATCAAATGGGGGAAAAAAAGGGATTTACCGTAGGACAATGGTTAGTTCCTTAGTGAGTTTGTTTCTCACTGGGTGCCCACCGGACATGTACTTCAGGCAAAGTTGTCTCCCTGCATTAGTTACTGTTTCCGCCTGCGGCTGATTGCGAACTGACATAAGTTTTCAGCCATTTATTATGATTTCAGCCATTTATTATGATTTCGATTCATTGACTCATTGATTGGTTTTGTTTTCACGGCTTACCAACCTTTTGCATTTTTTTTTTTTTTTGTTTTACTGTACAAGGCTCGGGAACCACACGAGGTAGAGGGTTACAGAGTAAAAGGCACGCAGTTTACGCGGATAGGTGGGACAGATAACGGTTAACCCTAGACTTGAACAGGTTAAGATTGTAGTGGTCAGAAAAAACATCCACTTGGAAGTCGGTTCCACAGAGCAATGGTTCGCGGGAAGAATTTCCTCGATTGGAACTTACCAATGGAATACGTAGAGAATGAGGGTGGTTCACTACAATGGGTGTGGCATGGCGGGTCCTAGCCGTGAAGGTTAAAACTGGGGGAACCAAGGAATACAGCTCGGTTGAGCACTTTCCATGCAAGTAATGATAGAACAATATTTTTGATTGTAAGAAGTTTTAAAGATAATAATGATTTACTGCTTCAAGTCTTGATAATTAACACATAACTGGGGGAGCAGAGGTGGATCATATCTTTCCGAAGAGTATTTGCGCGTAACTGAATATAATGAACCCGAGTGGAATTGGAATTCGGCTCTCTGATTTACAATTCCAAGCCGTTTCCATTACACCAATCGCATATCCAAGCTTACAAACGTCTGATATTTCTAAGCCATCACCCATTTAGGTACTGAGCAGGCTCGACATTGCTTAACTTTGTCGATCGTACAAGCAGCGGTATTTCAACGTGATATGACCGTAAGCCTTACCAACTGCACATCCAAGCTTGCAAAACCCGGTATTTCCAAGAGGTCACTCATTTAGGTAACTGACCAACCTCGACGTTGCTTAACTTCGGTGATCGTACGAAAACCGCTGTTACAACGTGATATGACCGTAAGCCTTACCACCTGCACATCCAAGCTTGCAGCACCTGGTATTTCTAAGAGGTCACCCATCTAGGTACTTAGGTACTGACCAAGCTCGACGTTGCTTAACTTCGCTGATCGTTCGGGAATCCGTTTCTCAACGTGATATAGCAGTAAGCCTTACCACCTGCACATTCAAGCTTACAGCACCTGGTATTTCCAAGTAGTCACCCATCTAGGTACTGACCAAGCTCGAGGTTGCTTAACTTCACTGATGGTACGAGAACCGGTTTACTCAACGTGGTATGGCAGTAAGGCTTACCAACTGCACACCCAAGCAACAAAACAAGGGGAGACGACTCTTGACTATTCATAACAATAACATCAACTCTTTACCACGACTTCAGTACTCCCCAATTTAGCTTCATTATTCGTCGCTATTTCCGCCTGCGACAGAATGCGGAGTAACAGGATTTGTTTCCTGTCATGTGTCACGACCTTGAGCAAGTTTATTAATGCCTCCCATTCATTACTAGCTGATAACAGAATTATGCTCTCCTCCCACATCTGTTTTGGTTTTCCTCTACTTCTCTTTCCAGGCAACATACCCACAAGAAACAGTTCAACAAGGCCTTCGCTAGTGTTATGAATAATCAAGACTGGTCTCCCCTTGTTTTACTACTCTCCTCTTTGAGAGAGCTATTTCTGTTTACTGGGACTATAAAAGGACACTGTACGCGAACCTTGGATTCTGAATTGAATAAAGCTTTTTTAAAGCCTACACCTGTGTACTTTTGTCATTACAACTATGTCTCCAAATAGTTTCCAGGATTTGAAATCGAAGAGTGAAGGCAAGTTGCTTACATTTCTAAAAGTGGTTATTTATACTTTGTTGATTAGCTTGTGATCTGTGATAATGCATATTGTTTTGAAATGTTTCGAGTTGAGCTGGAAGTTCTTTAGTACATGCCACAGAATCTAAATCATAAAAAACAACTGAAACAATGAATATGTGTGTGTGTGTGTGACGAATGCACGGCCGCAATTTTCGACGGATTTGCACGAAAATTTACATGCACATGCTCCAAGTTAGCGGGAAGACCGACTTTGCATTTCCCAACTCCTGTCGATAGTGGAAATAATCTATTTTTCATGCTTCTGTGGCAGTTTTCATGTAGTTTGCGGCCATTTTCTACTGGCCACAGTGAAAGTCTATAGCTGGCTGCCACGAATAGGCAGGAAGATTCTATTGGCCAGCGTGAGAGCCAACAGCTGACTGACACGAATGTTAACTAACATGCAAAAAAAATCGATAGCTGCATTCGTCACAAGTGGAAGAAATTTAAATCTTCATGGCACTTTACTCCAACTGGCTCATTCGCTTGCTTAAACTCAACGTTGATTCTGATTCCGCAGAACTGGGTGGGATGTGAAAAAGTATTTGTTGTTAATATTCTTTTTCCATTCGGTTTTTCCAGTTACGAGTCCTTTTTTAAAGCTGATCGTTTTGTGTTCATTTTGTTTAGTTCTTTTTTTCGTAACAGATTTAATGTTTAGTATAGAGCTTCGAAAAAATTCGCAGTGTGAGATAGGCAAGAAGTAAGGCATATAGCAACATCAACACGGAAAAGGGCACTCCTTTAAAGGCAAGGAAGGGCAAAAATATTTTAAGTCAAGTGATAGTGATTGCTGTATGAGTCGCACGATTTTTGAATCAAGCACGGGCAACGCTGGGCGATGCTGCTAGTAAGGTATATATGTTCCTTTCGATCTTTTTTTGTTAATTCATCCCAAATAACGTAAGGTTACTTATTGCAAATATTAAATTCACCCCAAGAAATTATAAATTTTAAATCAAGATTTGTTTATTTGTTTTTATTATTTTTTTAGCACACTTTTGAAATTATAAATTTTAAATCAAAATTTATTTAGCTTGACCCACAACGAATCCAACCCAGTGAATAAAAAATTACCAAAAATCAGTAAGTTATTCACAGTTTATAAGTGCGGATGATATTCGGGATACTGACAAGGAATTTTTTACAATTTAAAAAACAAAAGAGAAAAAAATCTGCTTTTGACTTGTTTATCCGGATGAACGCGAATGCGACCCCACACTTAGAAAATAGCTCACCCGAATCGCCCACATTTGGGGCGATCGCAAAGGTCAGCTCAACCGGTGTGTAATAGAACGACCTCTCTCCGGGAGAATTTGGTGTGAATTTTAGCAAATATAATTTTTATACATATATATTTGGGGGTGAAATAATATTTTGAGTTGAATTAACAGAAAAGGTTTGTTCGTTTTCGCATGGGATGCCTTAATCTAATAAGCATCATTAAATGAAGAATATATCAATAGGTCAAACGAAAAAGTTTGTTTTTTGTATTAAAAATAAACGGCATTTTCTTTTTTGTTAATTTTTAACATAAGCTTTATTGAATTGAACAGCAATCTGTTCCACTTTTTCATGCAACGTCACTATGCTATCGTCCCAGAATATTTTGTTGATTGACAAAGAACGACGTTAGGTGCTTTTTGCAATCTTTCAGTGAATTGAGGAAAAGGAAAGAAAATGGTCAATAAAAAAAACGTCGACAACAAAACTAACAAATATGTGGAAGAAAGTGAGAAGAGGGACGAGAATGAGGAAAAGGTAGAGAAGAAAGTGTTATGGAGGAAATAGAGAAGACAAAGGGAATACGTAGGGAGGGAGAAAATGACTATAATAACAACAATAATAATAGGAAGGGGAATTTTTTTTCCAGAATAACGTTTTTTATCACGAATAGATTTTTTATACATTATCGTTGTGCTTTCATTTCCATTTTTTTCTGTTTTCTTTTCTTTTTCTTTTGTTTTCTTTTTTCTTTTCTTCTTAGTTTTTATTTTCCTTCTGCTTTCTTACTTTTTTTTTAATTCTTTTCTTTTTTTTTTCTTAGGTCTTCTTTTAATTCATTTTCACTTTAATTTTTTTTTTCGTCAGTTTTCTTTTACTTTCTTTTTCTTCTTTTTTTCTTTTACTTTCTTTTTCTTCTTTTTTTCTTTTACTTTCTTTTTCGTTTACTTTTTTCTTTTTTTTTCTTCTTTTTTCTTTTACTTTCTCGTTTTCTTTTTCCTCTTTTTCTTTTACTTTCTTTTTCGTTTTCTTCTTTTTCTTCTTTTTTCTTTTACTTTCTCGTTTTCTTTTTCCCTCTTTTTCTTTTACTTTCTTTTTCGTTTACTTTTTCTTTTTTTCTTTTTTTTTTCTTTTACTTTCTTTTTCGTTTACTTTTTTCTTTCTTTTTCTTCTTTTTTCTTTTACTTTCTTTTTCGTTTACTTTTTTTCTTTCTTTTCCTTCTTTTTTTCTTTTCATTTTTCTTTTCTTTTTTTTTTTTACTTTTTTTCTTTTTTTCTTTTTTCTTTTCTTTCTTTTTCTTTTTACTTTTTTCTTTTTTTCTTTTCCTCTTTTTCTTTTATTTCGTTTTTCTTTTTCTTTTACTTTCTTTTTCGTTTTACTTTTTTCTTTTCTTTTTTTCTTTTTTTTCTTTTTACTTTTTTTTTTTCTTTTCTTTTTCTTTCTTTTTCTTTTTTACTTTTCTTTTTTCTTTTCTTTTTTTTCTTCTTTTTTCTTTTACTTTCTTTTTCGTTTTCTTTAATTTTCTTCTTTTTTCATTTACTTTTTCGTTTTGATTTTTCTTTTTTACTGTTCCTTTTATTTTCTTTTTCGTGTTCTTTTTCTTTCTTTTTTCTTTCTTTTTCTTCTGTTTTTTAACTTTCTTTTTTCTTTTTCTTTCTTTTTCTTCTCTTTTCTTTTTCTTCTCTTTCTTTTCATTTTCTCATTTTTTTTATTTCATTTTTTCTTCTTTCTTTTTATCTTTTTTATCATTTCCTCTCCTTTTTTCTTCTTTTCATTTTCTTTCGTTTTTTATTTTTCTTCTATTTTTTTTCTCTCCGTTGGGCTGTATAATTATTGTACGTTTGGACGATTCACTTTTAATATTACAGAAAGCACTTACTGATCTTACTAGACCCGCCTTTTTTATGTCCTCTTCTTGCATATCTCACTTGATCTCTCAAAATCGGTCATTTTTCGACCCAACATAGACAAGATTGCTATCTGATCTACCTATACTGAAAGACACCTATCTCAACCTGAATCGTAAGCCGAGTCGCATGAAATGAAAAAAAAAAAAGAAAAAAGAAAAAAAAAGAAAGATGGTGGGGGTAGGAGTCGAGGAAATTATCTCAGTCCTTTGCTTTCTCTTTACACCTGAAGTTCTCTTCTGCTCGTCCGTTTTGTTAGACGCACACACCTTTTCACCTCCGTTTCTTTGGAATCTGCTTTCAACTGAGTCATAAATAATTTCCGTATTTGTTCATCAAATTTATTCTAAAAAATAAAACACGATTGCATTTCATTCAATTATTCCTTTAAGAAAGTTTTCCCCATCAAGGCATTTTGCAGCAAGCGATAAAGGTAATAACTAGTTGGTGTAAAGTCAGGTGAAAATGGCATGTCGAACAAAACAGACCACTGAGTTATAATACTTTTCTTCTGTTATTCATGCTGTTTTGCGCTGTCATAGAAGAGAACAACATTTATCCTTTAATCCACCGTGTACGCTGCCACTTTCCTTTAATCCACAGTGTACGCTGCCACTTTCCTTTAATCCACTACCGTGAAAAACAAAACAAAAAAAAGAAAAATGAAGAAGAAGGAGGATGAAGAGGAATAACAGAAGAGAAATAATGAAGAAGAATAATAATTGATTTGTTTATTACGGCTTATCAACCCTTTGCAGGTTATTTAAAACCAGAAAATACTTTTAGATTATAAGAATTTTCTTGATAAATAATGATTTACTGATACAGGCCATTATTAACCCATAGCTGGCGGGGTAAGAGATGGATTCATACCATTCCCAACGGTATTTACGCCTAAGTGAATATAAAGAAACCCATTGAAATTGGAATATCTATCTAGCTAGCTACCTAGCTAGCTAGGTATTCTCACTAGCCGTCTATCTATATCCGTATTCTCGAAATGCATCAATCTCTATCTATAAAAGACAGGATGTGTGTGTGTGTGTGTGTGTGTGTGTGTGTGTGTGTGTGTGTGTGTGTGTGTGTGTGTGTGTGTAACGAATGCACGGTGGCAATTTTCGACGGATTTGCACCAAAATTTACATGCACATGCTCCAAGTTAGCGGGAAAGCCAAGACCAACTTTGCATTTCCCAACTCACATCGATAGTGGAAATAATCGATTTTTTCATGCTGGCCAGAGAGAGCCTATAGATGGCTGCCACGAATAGGCAGGAAGATTCTATTGGCCAACGTGAAAGCCAACAGCTGACTGACACGAATGTTAACTAGCATGCTAGCATGCAAAAAAAATCGATAGCTGCATTCGTCACAAGTAGGAAAAATTTAAATCTGCATGGCACTTTACTCCAATTGGCTCATTCGCTTGCTTAAACTCCACGTTGATTCTGATTCCGCAGAACTGGGTTGGGTGTGAAAAAGGATTTGCTGTTAACATTCTTTTTTTCATTCGGTTTTCCAGTTACGAGTCCTTTTTTAAAGCTGATCGTTTTGTGTTCATTTTGTTTAGTTCTTTTTCGTAACAGATTTAATGTTTAGTATAGAGCTTCGAAAAAATTCGCAGTGTGAGATAGGCAAGAAGTAAGGCATGTAGCAACATCAGCACGGCAAAGGGCACTCCTTTAAAGGCAAGGAAGGGCAAAATATTTTAAGTCAAGTGATAGCGATTGCTGCATGAGTCGTACGATTTTTGAATCAAGCACGGGCAACGGCGGGACACGCTATAGTCAACCTATATATCCATCTATTCCCATTATCTATCTATCTATCTATCTTGGATTTCTCCTAATGTATCTATTTACCTATCTATTGCTGTATTTTCATATGCTATACATTGGTGTGCACCAAATTTATTCTTCATTGTCGAATATGATTTGCAGTTCGGATGATTCATTCGTCATTACAATTGCCACACCCGCCCCACCAAAAGAAAATTACTTATGACTCGGCGTGATATTTCATCTCTTCGTTGTTTCTAACTCTTCCAGAAAGAAAAACGAATGATGTTATTATCAGATAAGAACAAGGAAATGATTAAAACCCAAACCATTTTTTTAAATTGATAAATAAAGACTTTTTTTTCTCAAATGCTTAACTTCCTTGTGAAAAAAAATCACCGTGTATATTTAATTCTCTTGTTTATCTTATACATCGACAATTGAGAACCACTTCCTTCGCCAGTGTCAATGTATTTGCAAAGTCATTTTCAATACATATATTTTCAATATGTATTTTCAGTACATATTTAATTCTCTTGTTAATCTTATACCTCGACAATTGCGAACCACTTCCTTCACGATTGTCAATACATTTGTAGAGTAAATCCATTTTCCATAAATATCTATAATTAATACATGTCTAATATATTCTAATAATTTATATATTTTATAATTAAAAATTATATATTATATTTATTGCTGATATCACTTGACGAGTGTGCGTTGTGTTTCCAGAGAGTCCGTCTTCAAAACTCTGGAGACGGGATGCTGAAGGTACATTAATCAGCTAAATGAAAACACTTTTACTTGTATTAATTCTATATTATAAATATAATACACTAGCAGTAGAGCCCGGCGTTGCCCGGGGATGTAACAGTAAGAGATAGATCAAGTATCGACCATCATAAAGACTGAAAAATAAAATTGACAAAGATTATTGTTTAAGGTTGACGGACACGCATGTCTTTTTTTTGTTTTTTGGGGTTTTTTTACGAATTGGTCAAACCCAAACTCAAACAAAAACATTGTTTTCAATCGTTATGAGTCTACCGATTGAATAGAATTTTATTATAAACAATTGTCTTGTAAATGGAATTTTTAAAGCCTTCTGAATGTAAAAATGAAGAAAAAGTGTGCAAGACAATATATATATATATATATATATATATATATATATATATATATATATAATGTCTTTACCTAATGAACTTATGTAAACGGATGGCGGAACACAGAGTGTGAGGGATGGTATGACGAAAAACACTGCTTAGATCGTCAAAAGCTAGGAAGCTGTGGAGAGCCATAATCGAATGTTAATCTACGGCATCTAGGTAAAACTGTTAGAAATCTCTATGCTCTATCCAAGCTGCTTTCTTCAGGGCCAAAGGCGTCCTTAACGTCAGGACACCCTAGGCAAAAATGCATATTTTCAACAAGTTTTTATTGAATTGGAATATTAACAAATAACATCTTCAATATGATTTCCATCATTTGTGATGCAAAGGTTGATGCGCTTTGCAAGATTCACGTGAACTCGGTGCAGTAACTCTACATTGCCATCAATTTTAGCACATTAACTCTTTATGCGTTCAATCAAGTGTGTTGCAGCTGTGATTTTCATTGAGTACACCTTCTCCTTTAGCATACACGACCCCACCAAAAAAAAAAGTGTCAATTCTTCCTTCTTTCGAAAGAAACATGTTTAATCTGTGGAGGTAAAAAAAATATAGTTAATGAGATTTCCTATGGTTATTTTCTAAGCGTAGCTTAGACGTGGCACAAGGCCGAAATTATGGAGCACTTAATGAGGATCGAATACTTTAAAGTCGTAACTGATCTAGCGAGACAAGCTTGAAAACCATTACACCACGCCAAAGTACTCAACTACTTATCATATGGTTATTTTCTAAGCGTAGCTTAGATGTAGCACAAGGCCGAAAACATGGGGCACCTAGTGAGGATCGAACTTACTTTAAAGTGGTAACTGATCTAGCAAGATATGCTTGCTAACCATTACACCACGCCGAGGTGGCCATATGAGATTCCCTATGTGTCCAGACTCTAGGGACACCCTGTATAAAAACGACCTGCGCATTGTGATAAAATGCAGAAAAACTAAGGTGAAGAAAATACTCGTTAAAAGTGAACACTTTTGACGATGATTCATCTCAGATATTCAAATGTAAAAAAAAAAAAAAAAAAACCCGAAAAATGACTGATTGAATTTGGAAAACACGCATAAACACACGTGTATCTGAAAAAAGATAACAGGCTATTTTTATTCGGTGTGGGCAAAAGTTCCCAGAGCTTGTTTTTGAAAATTAGAAACTTAATACGCATCTGAAGACTTTTTTTTTTCTTTTCAGTGGAAATTTTTGCGTAGATCAAATGCACCCACTAGTAATTTCCTCGGTGTTTAATAATCATAATTTAGTCCAGCACAAGATATAATAAACATCGGGGTGATTAGTAGTCATGACCTCTCCGACGAGGTGTCGAACTGTTACTTCATTGTGAGACGCCTCGTAGCAATATGGAATAAAATTTCATTTTCGAGTGACTCGTTGAAGGACATTTTTTAATATAATGGTGAAAAAAAAAAAAAAAAAAAAAAAAAACGACACTTATTCAAATGCGATAAACACTTTTAGAAATAAAGAAGAAAAAAAGAGCGAGCGATTTCTCTCAACACACACACACACACACACACACATACACACATACACACACACACACACACACACTCACACTCACTCACACTTCACGCGCCAAACCCATTGTCCTACCATATCTTCTTTCGGGTGTCACATTCTATCATAGTAGGTGGCCGGCCAA